TGCAGCCTGAACAGGGCACACCTTGGGTGGCCACTCCTCTTGTATTGTTGCCCCCACATAACATCAAGACACACCAGTAAGGCCGGTAATTGCTGGTGGCCAATTAAACTTTTACTGACTAAGCAATTATAATTCATGGACAATTATAACGAGGAGACTAATTATGCAAGTTGCATCAATAGATAACAAATGAAGTACCAATGTGGACAGAAATCACATAGTAAGAGCAGAAAGTTCTAGGACAGGATGCATAGCCCAAGTAAAAGAAAGAAGGAAATAACAGTTCACCTCAAGAGCGGTAGGATCGTTAGGTGACTTGGCCAGTGTTTCTTCGTATCCTTCAAGTGCCCTCTAATCAAAACAATTGACAATATCTTAATAAAATAACAAAGTACCAAAATGAACTGAAAACATTTCCTTAGATATTTTTGTTATTGCGGCTGAAATAATTCTTTGACCCTTCGTGTCGAAATGAAACATCAGAGGTACAATACAAGTATACAGCTCATAAGCAAGCGCATTCCGCAACAGTTTCTAAGCATGGCATTTGTTTTTACTACAATTCTGAATACTTAGATGATGGCCATGACCGCTACGCAATACGCCATACGCCTGCTGTCTAGACTGATTGCTTATGCTTCCTTTTTATTGAGCTACACCTTGCGACAGAAAATCACGTGGCTATAAAACATTATAAGGATGACATGGACATGGTTGTATTTTTCAAAAGCAAAACCTTTTATGAACAATTTGTGGGTAATACTGCACATACACTGTGTAACATTCGCTGTAACTGGAGTAGTTCATATATTTAAAAATCAGCAATATTTTTCTGGGTGGGTGGGTGGGGGGGGGGGGTACCTTATAGTTTGTTCTTTCCTCCTCAGAAAGCTGTTTGTTAACCACAGTGCTTTCATTGCTAGGGCTAACACTGTAACAAGGGGAGTATAGTTCCTCGTAAGAAAATGATTATGTACATAGGCATACAATGAAAAGTCAACTTTTAACTGCAAAATAGAATAATTATTTTCTCTTATGACCTACAGTTTTGTTCACACATGAATCACTTTACTTACCAGCATCACACGTAAGAGAAAAATGATGTAAGGTTTAACTGTATTTCCAAAACTGTCACCAATTAATAATACAATAGATTTGTTACTAGATATTTCAAACACAAAAATAGTATAAATTAAGTATTTGATAGTAATATTCTAGTGCATAAAAATGTGCTGGCCCATCAGACTCTAAAGCATCACTTGCTACTTCCTAAAGTAACTAATTGTCCGTAAATTACACTCTACACATACCTGCTAAGCACGATCCACACGTACAATGTATGTTGAGCAGATTGGACTAAGCTAAACCAGACCGACTATAAATATACCCAAATGATAAGTGCCACACGTGTGGCACGAAGTAACAGCGCCCTGACATTTTTACAACTAAAATTGCCATCCGAAAAAAAAAACCAAAAAAACTGAAACTTGCCATCAAACAGAAAGTTGCCATGCTTCACAACTAAAGTTGCCATCCTTGGGTAACTAAAGTTGTAATAAAAAAACGTCAGAGCGGAACTGCTTCATGCCACACGTGTGGCAATTATCAGGGTCCTAAATATATCTAATATAACACATTCAGTACTTCAAAAGCTTCCTAGAGAAACTCTTAACACTAGTCCAAAACCACAGACCATATTCACTTGCTACTTCCTAAAGTAACAAATGTGTAGTCCATTAGTGTCCATTAGTGTAGTAGACGTTAAGCACCTTCCAGAAGGGAGGAAATCCCCAAAAGTGAAGACTAGTCCAAAAACCACAACAGCTATGCCAATTCCAACCTGCCAGAGAAATTCCGATGTACATGATATGGAAGCTACCAAATAGTGAAAACACGTAAACGATGTACATGTATACTGACCCTTGTACCAAGGCCAAGTGTACTCTTATCTGATTCGATTGGAGCATCATAATCAATAGCTTGATAAGTTTTGTTCTCTTCAACTTTCTTTTTATCAAGTGCAGACCTGTAAAAAAACATAATAACAACAGAAGCCCCAAGCTTAGAACATGAATAAAAACATTAGATTCGAAGAAGAGTGAATTGCAGCAAAACACTCCTTTTTGAACTGAAACTGTAGGGGAGGTCCCAACAGTAAAAAATTATTAATAGAAGA